CCCCAAAAGGCCTCATCCCGATGGAGTTAGTATTCCTCACTTATAAACCCATGATCACACCCTAAATTAGTCGATGTGGGACTTCCATCATCCAACACCTCCCCTCGAACAAAGTGCGCCTCCCCTTAATCGAGGCTCGACTCCTTTGGAGTCTTAGTCATTTTTGACTGCCTTCGAGGAGGGGCTTGGCTCTCCTTTTTTCTTAAGAGTTCTTTGTTCGATATTTGAGGATTCGAGGATTTACCAATCTATTGGCACGACTAAGTTTAGGGCATGGCTCTGATACCATGTTAGACGAACACGACTCTCCACAATGGTATGATATTGTCCACTTTGAGCATAAGCTCTCATGGCTTTGCTTTGGGCTTCCCCAAAAGGCCTCATACCAATGGAGTTAGTATTCCTCACTTATAAACCCATGATCACACCCTAAATTAGTCGATGTGGGACTTCCATCATCCAACACCTCCCCTCGAACAAAGTGCGCCTCCCCTTAATCGAGGCTCGACTCCTTTGGAGTCTTAGTCATTTTTGACTGCCTTCGAGGAGGGGCTATCGGGATGAGGCCTTTTGGGGAAGCCCAAAGCAAAGCCATGAGAGCTTATGCTCAAAGTGGACAATATCATACCATTGTGGAGAGTCGTGTTCGTCTAACATGGTATCAGAGCCATGCCCTAAACTTAGTCGTGCCAATAGATTGGTAAATCCTCAAATCCTCAAATATCGAACAAAGAACTCTTAAAGAAAAGGAGCTAAGCCCCTCCTCGAAGGCAGTCAAAAATGACTAAGACTCCAAAGGAGTCGAGCCTCGATTAAGGGGAGGGCGCACTTTGTTCGAGGGGGAGGTGTTGGATGATGGAAGTCCCACATCGACTAATTTAGGGTGTGATCATGGGTTTATAAGTGAGGAATACTAACTCCATTGGTATGAGGCCTTTTGGGGAAGCCCAAAGCAAAGCCATGAGAGCTTATGCTCAAAGTGGACAATATCATACCATTGTGGAGAGTCGTGTTCCTCTAACAAGCCCGACGCCCCCCTCCATCTCCACCAACCGCACCTACCACCAAAGGCGCCTATTCCAATGATAGAAACGCGCAGCTTCTTCGCCTGTTCAAGGCGACTCAATACAATTCTTCCCATACTCCGCTGGAAGAATTTCCTCCGAATCATTATTTTTCTTGCGCTTCAATCTCACCGGGATGTCGTCTTCTTCCCCTGCGGTTCTTACTTGCAAAGGTAATATTTCTGGATTACTTTCTTGTATTCTACCATCCTCCGCTTCTTAAATTACTTGTATCTTATTTTTTGTAATTCGATTGAAGCCGCGGTCGCTTGGGGACCTGGAGAGCCATTGGTGATTGAGGAGGTGCAAGTGAGTCCTCCTCAACCTATGGAGATCAGAATTAAAGTTGTCTGCACTTCTTTGTGTCGCAGTGATGTCTCTGCTTGGGAAACTCAGGTTCTTACCTCCATTCTAGCTGAAATGAATTTTTATTTTTGCAATTTATGCGGATGGATCGTCGTTGACCGGTGTCAATTAATATTTCGTTGATAAGTAGAAGAATGTGATTGGTTATGTAAATGCTAATTATACATCATTTGAGTCCTGCGATTGATTTTATGTCCTGATCAACATACTGGATAGCCAGATCCATTATTGTTCAAAGTTTTGTTTGAGCTCAGGACGTACATACAAAACTTGCAGTAATCTCGTTTGATAATTTATAGCGAACGAAGAAATCTATACAAAACGTGGATTGAAGTACACTTTTATTTTTCTAATCAAACCGTTTCCTTTTTTTTTTTTCCTGCAAAATCGCATTATAATGAACTTGAACTTTAGCTTCTATTGGATTTTGTTCTACCGGCTTGTAATCTTGTAACACGTTGTTTACCTTCCGTTGGTATAAGCTTGTAAAGGCTAACGAAAGGAAATTATGGAGTCTTTGCATCATGTTTCATGATGAAGACGAAGATTTGAACCTTCTGGAATGATTACTTGTTGCTTTTGTAGGCTATTTTTCCTCGCATTTTTGGCCATGAAGCATCAGGGTAACTTTATTTTTCAGTGTTGAAATGTAAAGCAGCGATTCAGTTTTTCATCTCATTGGAAAAAAATGATCTTCCATTTTATTTTTCAGTATTGTTGAGAGTGTTGGTCCTGGAGTGACTGAATTCAGTGAAGGAGATCACGTGCTTACACTATTCACTGGAGAATGTAAGTCATGTAGGCAGTGCATATCGGGTAAAAGCAACATGTGCCAAGTTTTGGGACTAGAGAGGAGAGGTGTAATGCATAGTGATCAGAAGACCCGATTCTCTATCAAAGACAAGCCAGTTTATCATTATTGTGCGGTTTCAAGTTTCAGTCAATACACCGTGGTGCACTCAGGGTGTGCTGTCAAAGTCAGCTTGGCTGTACCTCTTGAGAAAATATGTCTTTTAAGTTGCGGAGTGGCTGCAGGTATACTTGCGTGCTTAGTTGAATTCTTTCGTTTGATTTCTTCAATGCGGTCGAGGGGTTTTGGATAAATCATATCACATCTTGTTGTTCGTAACTATGTATATATTCAGAATAGAATACAAAAAGTAAAAAAAAAAGTACGTATATTAAGAAAGTAATGCAACGCATGCGCAAGGTAGTGAAAGTGGAAGTACTGAAACTTGCATGTCTACAATGGCTTATTGATTCTTTTATGTGATCAGTTAAAAAGGAGTAAGATTCATCCTTAGCTACTTTATTAGCATACTTATATGGTCTTCTTTGAATTTTAAGTTGAAATATGGACTGTAAATCAGACTAATTTTTGTCTTACCTTTTCATTCTCCCCCTTGTCTGAACCCACCTATCGTGTAACTAAACTATCCTGTAGATTTCAACTAATTTAGGCTTGAATTGAAGAGATTTATTTTTCTTTTTAATTATTGAATTGAAGCATGTTCTGCTCAACAGTCTAGGGGATGTTACTTATAAAATGTGCTTTCTTTAGGTTTGGGTGCTGCTTGGAATGTCGCTGATATATCTGAAGGTTCAACTGTGGTGATATATGGTCTTGGGACTGTAGGTCTATCTGTAAGTATTATGTTTTGTGAATATCTCTGTAGTGACCTCAAACATTTCTCTTGACAAATTTGGAAACAAATTGATTAATCTTTTTTCTGTCTTACCAAAAGGTTGCACAAGGTGCCAAAGTTAGGGGTGCATCGCAAATAATTGGCGTTGATATTAATCCTGAAAAGGGTGAAATAGGTAACCTCATTTTTCTTTGGTAACAAAGTTTTTTTTCTTAATTTTTTTTTAGAAACTGTGTTGACAAAGGAAATAATTCCATTCTTGCAGCCAAAACTTTTGGGATCACTCATTTTGTTAACCCGAAGGAGTGCAATGAATCCATTCAACAGGTATTACTCTCTACAACCTAACAACTGTCCAAAATCTCGATGATAAAAATTCAAATGGGTTTCTTTGTGAATTTTCATGTAATCTTCGTTTATTTCTCGTAGGTCGTGAATCGAATTACTGATGGCGGGGCTGATTATGCATTTGAATGTATAGGTGACACAGGGATGATAACTACTGCTTTGCAGTCCTGTTGTCAAGTTAGTGTTGTTTTGCTCAGCATTTATTTGATGCAGTTTCTTCCATAAAACTGATTAATTTCTTTCAACATCTTGGCTTAGGGTTGGGGTTTGACTGTTACGTTAGGTGTCCCAAAAGTGAATCCAGAACTAAAAGCCCACTATGGAGTATTTCTTAGTGGAAGAACATTAAAAGGATCCCTTTTTGGCGGATGGAGACCAAAATCTGATCTCCCCTCATTGGTAGACATGTATACCAAGAAGGTAATAAAAGCTTTATATTTAACGATTGAATCTGATACTTCCTGCTTCAATGCGCCTTAGCATTTCCCTCTTAAATCACAAGCATGGTATGCATATTCGGATCATTCTTGGATACAGAGCTTATAGATGTGACGCTTGACAAAATCTCATGCAGGAAATTCAAATTGACGAGTACATCACACACAACATATCCTTTGAAGATATCAACCAAGCTTTCAGTCTCATGAAGGAAGGGAAGTGTTTACGTTGTGTTATTCACTTATCAGCATGATTTTAAATTAATCAAATCCATCTTCGGTGATTTTTGCTAGTTGTTCAAATTCCTGGTTTTTCTATTTCGTAATCTATTTGCTGGGAATTCTGATATTTGTACGCTTCGTTGGATTGAGATATTTTGAGGTGCTTTTTTTGGGGGGTAAAGAATAACATTGTTACTTAGAATCAAAACTTAGGGCCTTTTGTTTTAAAATTCCTCGAGGAGTAGAGATATTTTGAAGCTTCCTGGTTCCGGTTCCGGTTCAGGTTCAGTAGTTCAGTAGCTTTCGGTTGATTCTTCTTTTACCGTGAAATCAGGGAGAGAGAGGAAATGAACAAGGTCATATAGTTTCAGGTTCCGGAGAATGAATGTTTCATTGGATTCTTCAATCAATTCATTCTGTAGAGGCGGATTAGATTTCATGAACTGAACGAAATAATGGAAGAGAAAATTCCATCTAGACTAGGCAACCCTTTTCTTGTAGTTAAGTGACATTCGCTAGGATATGATAGATTGGAAGTTTGTCAAGAAGGTATATGTCCTCAGTCAATCCCTCACGTGCCATTTCAAAATTAAGAATTGAAATTGGCAAATGTGGAGAAATGGTTTTTAGTCATTTACTTGAAAAATTAGTGGATGATATATGAAGACAATAGCACGTAAAACATATATTCTAGTTTCATATATTGACTTGTTAATGCATCAATACTTTATGGAAAGAAAAAACTCTGTTAAATAATTTTTTGATTTTTTTATCTTTAGAAAGTAATTAAGATTATGTGTGAATTTCTTTTCTTAATAAAATCTATCCAAATTGGCTTGTTCAATTTATATGCAATTAAATCTCATTTAGGGTCTTTTTGGGTTGTATCTGAAAAATTAAACACTTAAAAATCAATCTAAACATTCCAACCTAATCCATATTATTTGTGTCAAGATCAGAAACGGCCGAGTTTATTACAACCCCTCAACTTAAAAACGAAATGAAAAGTCCTCAGCCAAAAATACAGAAAAAAGAAAGAAAGACAAAGGTTGCAGCGGTTGGGGATGGAGACATCCCAATGACACTTCTTTTAGCTTTCTGCTCTCCTCTCTGTTCCAATGTCCTGTCCAGTCCATTTCTGCATCCTTCCTGAAGTTTCCTCCACCTGCAATAATCATTCAACAATTCGCCATTAAAACTGCTCCGACCTTCCTTCCTTCCCTACAACACCCAAAAAACAAAAAAAGAAAAAGAAAAACATTTGGTTTCTCCTACCTCTTTATTCCAGTTGGTTTTGTACAGAACAAGCAGCAGCAGAATCGTCTGCATTGCTATCCCGGCTATCATTCCGCCCCAAAGCCCCTGCACCCAACCAAAAGTGTTAGATTAAGAAGCCACTCTTAAACTCGATCTTGATTGGCTAGTTTTCTTTGGCATACCTTCACTCCAAACTTTGCTACGTAACCTAAGACAATCCCAAGAGGGAGACCAAAAATGTAGTAGCAGCCTAAGTTTATGTAAGCCACCAATGCCTGCCATCCAGCTCCAATGGCCACACCTGAACAAGGAAGGCCCAGAGGATTGTAAAGGCTCATTCAAAACCACTTCTTCACTAACATATTTATATAGAGAGAGAGATTATTAGTTCACCTGATATGACTGGTTGGACACTGTTGAGAACCATGGTTATGCCAAGAAGATAGGCTAATTTGGCAACATATTTCTGCACAGCTACACTGCTTGTAAAGATGACAGCAAAATGATCCTTTACAAAGAATATCAGCACCATAAAAAGGAGCCCCAGAATAAGAGATTCTGCGATTGTCACATAAACAGAGTACTTCGCAGCTCGAGGCCGTGCTTTTCCAAGTTCATTAGAGACCCTAACACTGGAAACAAACAACAGAAGAACATAAGTATAAGAAATGGGCCTAAAATGGATCCTCTCTCAGATTCTGATGAATATTATGAAAGATTAAAGCTTTTCAAACAATTGTAGGACAGATCTATTGTAACATCCCAAACCCAGTGCTTGTAGATATTGTCCTCTTTTGGTTTTTTCTTTCAGGCTTTCCTTCAAAGTTTTTAAAACATGTCTATTAGGTAGAGATTTCCACACCCTTATAAAGAATGCTTCGTTTCCCTCTTCAACCGTTGTGGGATCTCTCAATCCACCCCCTTTAGAAGCCTAACGTCCTTGCTGGCATATCGCTCAGTGTCTGGCTTTGATACCATTTGAATGTCAGTGAGGATTCCACATTTGGATCAGAGCCATTTGATACCATTTGAATACCACACCTAAATCAGAGCCAGACACCGGGCGATGTGCCAGCGAGAAGGTTGAGACCCAAAGGGGGTGGATTGTGAGATCCCATATCGGTTGGGGAGGAAACGTAGCATTCTTTATAAGGATGTGAAAACCTGTTCCTAGCATACGTATAACGGGAAGCCCGAGAGGGAAAGCCCAAGGAGGACAGTATTTGGATGAGTGCTGGTTCAGTTGTTTAACTACGAAAGACATGTTTTAAAACCTTGAGGAGAAGTTGAACGGAATGCCTAAAGATGACAATATCTGTAGTGGTGGGTTTAGACTATTACAGATCTCTATTGGTATGATGTCATTTAAGAGATCTAAAGAACAGTTTCATGAACTTGATGATACCATTTAAGAGATCTAAACAACAGTTTCATGAATCTAAAAGATTTAAAATAGTTCAAGATCATTCATTACCTCATGGCGACATTGATTCCAATGAAAATGATATTTTCCCATCCGTTCAAGTTCATGCTGAAACAACCCAAAACTTAAGATCCATGAAAAACGAAGAACATAACCACGCAAACATCCAAAGAACTATCTACTTACCAAATCGAAAGTGAATCAACAGAAATGACAGCATTTGGAAGGTGGCCAGCAAGAACAATGATGCTACTCATGTACCAAATCTCCAAGCAGAACATAATAGCAGAGGAAAACGAGAGCTTAACAAATCCCCACAAATCCTTAAAAGCCAACCAAGAGAATCCCTGCCAAGCATCTCTACACCAACCCATCACATAAATTACTTGGGCAATGGAAAGCCCCCACCCAGAGATGTTCAAAGCCAGACCAGCCCCAGTGGTGCTCCAACCGAACTCAAAAATGAACAGCCACAACATGAAAACATGAGCCAGAAGAGCCCCAAAGCCAATCCAGGCCAACGCCCACACTTTGCTCTGTGCCTGCAGAAACTTTTGGGTTGGAAAAGCCAACACAAAGGAGAACAACTGTGGGAGTATGAGCAGAGAGAAATTCCCAGCCAGTTCTGCGACATCATCTTGTTGCCCCAAAAGCTTCAAAATGGGAGTGGCAAAGACATAGACTGGTGTGATTATTAAGGCACATACGAACATAATGACCCATGATCTCTGCATATACACACCCAGCATGTGGATTTGTCCAGCCCCAAATGCTTGGCCGCACAGTGTCTCTGTTGCACTTCCCATTCCAAACTGTGAACAATTTTTAAACACACACATCAGAATCTAGCTTTTCAATCAATGGGGATTGAGAGAGAAAATACAGACCATGAAACCGAAAGCGAAAGTGGCAATAACAGAGATGGCAATGGAAACGCCAGAGAGCTCAAGCTCCCCGAGTTGACCCACAAAGATATTGGTAACAGAGTTGGTTCCATATTGACAAACGATCTGAAAAATGACCGGACCGGAGATGGTCCAAGTCTTCACCGTCTCACTCCACACGATACGCTTGAACTGCTCAAAGTTCCTCGCCGGAGCATAGTCTCCTCCGCTGCTGCTGTCACCCAGAAGTGGCGCCGCCTCCATCTCCGCCGAAACAGAGGCCTGATATAACTTTCTATGTACAGAGACAACAATCAAGCTTTTAAACAAGACTGATGTGTTGTATGCACATTATTCGGCAATCCTCACTGTCAACGTCAGATTGATTTCCATTTGTAATTCATCAAGTGTCCAAATCCTTGCGAATATATAACAAACACATCTTTTTTTGCGTTAAAGAGAGTGATTATTAAAGGGGAAAGCTTTGTTTTTTGTCAACGTGCACTGTCGACGACAATAGTTAAGAATTGTTATTGTACTTAGCTCAACAACGTGATTCATGACGAATTTCTGTGGACCCAACTCTGGTTGCTACGCTAAAAATTCAAACTTTTTTTATCATAAGCTATGTTTAAAATGTTGTTGGAAAAGGAGACTCACATCGACTAATTAACGGGGTAATCATAAGGTTACTTAGTCATGTCAATAGAATCCTTAAATATCAAACAAAGAAGTTGTGAGCTTCAGAGGTGTAGTTAAAAAGTGACTCAAGTGTTAAATAAAGGGTGTACTTTTTTCGAAGACTCAAGGGCTCTACAGGTCTCAAGGGAGACTCTATAATGTATTATGTTCGAGGGGAGGATTGTTGATAAGTGTTGGAAAAGGAGTCTCATTTCCACAAATTAAGTAGTTGATCATGGGCTTATAAGTAAAGAATACATCTCCATGGTGATGCTCAACTTGGGCCTGCCCCTCAGCGGAGAAATGATTCAACTCTCAGCGGAGAAATGATTCAACTCGAGTGACGCTCTTGCCATTCACCCTTTTACACATTTGGTTTACGAGCATGAAGAGATTTGAAAGGTAGATCTAGATGGGCGCAGTTGGGAAAGTATACAAATCCATGATTAAGTAAAGGGTGGACTAAAATGCAAAAGGGAAGAATAAAAAATTTGGTAAATGAGACAAAATGATCACTCCACAATATTTATTTGAATCAAAGATGAGAAGAATCAACCACAGCCTCGTACAGAATTACAGAAGAAGAAGAAGAAGAAAGCTAATTCAATGGAATGGAAGAACTATTATTTGGACGCCATATTTGTTCCTCTTGGTCTTCTCCTCACCTTCACCTATCATGCTTGGTTATGGTACAAGGTTAAAACTCAGCCACTCGCCACCTTCATCGGAGTCACTGCCACCGTCCGCCGCCACTGGATCTCCGCCATGCTCCAGGTATTTCATCCAACTTTGCATCATTTGTCTAATAGGTTGGGAATGTGAATATGGGTCCCAAACCCATTTTGACCCGTTATGCATCGCCCTTACCTCATTGGTTTTGCGAGGTCCAACGTCTTTGCTGGAACACCGTTCAATGTCTATCGGATACCATTTGATCATGTGCAACGGTCCAAGTCCACGCTAATAGATATTGTTTGCTTTGGCCCATTACATATCTCCATCCGCCTCAATTTTAAAACACGTCTTTTACGAATAGGTTACTAACTCTCCACAATGGTATGATATTGTCCACTTTGAGCATAAGCTCTTCTGACTTTGCTTTTGGCTTCTGGCTTTGCCAAAAAGCCTCAGACTAATGGAGAGTATTCATTGATTATAAACTCATGATCGTTCCCTAAATTAGCCGATGTGGGACTTTCATCATCCAACATAGTTCTCCTCTTCAACCAATATGAGATCTCACAATAAAATTTTGGACGATTTCTCGATTTATACCCTTGCAAGGATATTACGTCACACATAAGTTTAAAAGGGAATATATTATAGAAGTATATGGTATATGGTAAGAAGTTAGGTTAAGGTAGTTTAGAATAAGAATTTTGCATTCAAATTTAGAAGTTTTGCCAAAATATTTAGTTTGGTGAACAGGACATAGACAAGAAGAACATCCTTGTCGTTCAAACCCTGAGGAACATGATAATGGGTTCAATCTTGATGGCCACCACCTCGATTCTCCTATGCGCCGGGCTCGCCGCCGTCCTCAGCAGCACCTACAGCATCAAAAAGCCGCTGACCAACGCCGTCTACGGTGCCCACGGGGAGTTCACAGCGGCTCTGAAGTTTATAACAATCCTAACCATATTCATCTTCTCATTCTTCTTCCACAGTTTGTCGATCAGGTTCATGAACCTAGGTGGGCTTCTGATCAGCGCCCCATTGCAGCCCTTGTCCGTGCTGACAGAGCAGCATTTGGTCGACATTTTGGAGAAAGGCTGTGTTTTGAACACCATTGGAAATAGACTCTTCTATTCAGCTCTCCCATTGGTGCTTTGGATTTGTGGGCCGTTGCTGGTTTTCTTGTGCTTTGTGGTTATGCTGTTTGTGCTTTATAATCTTGACTTTGTGTGTAACAAGAGGATTAATGGGAAGATGAATGAGTGAGCTAGCACAATATCTTAACCAATTAACTTGTCTAGAGACTAAAATTGATGTATGGAGTCTTTAACATATATATATATATATTATTGATCACGAGCTCAAAGATATGAATTTTATGTCATGAGTTTATAAGAAACGAACGCTATCTCAATTTGAACAAAGAAGTGAGACTCGAAGGTGTAGTTAAAAGTGACTTAAGTGTTAAACAAAGGGGTACTTTGTTCAAGGGCTCTAGAGAAGGAGTTGAGCCTCGATTAACGGAAGATTGTTCGAGGGCTCCATAGATCTTAGGAGAGGCTCTATAATGTACTTCGTTCGAAGGCTCCATATAACCTTCACACAAGAACTCCATCGAAAACTTATCTTCCACTTCCCTATTCGCATCATGCACAAACAAGTCCGTAATTTCCCCTTCCTCCCTATTCCTCGCCATCATCCCCGTCGTATAAATCACCGTCATCCTCCCTGGTGCCTCGTCGTAGTACCCTGTCGGTGCATCCACCTCATACACTTCCTCTGGCAGTCCCTTAAGCGCCAACTGACACACCGTGGATAAGGGCGTGGGAAAATGAGCAAGGGATGTTGTTGAAAGAAGATGGGGAGCAATTTTTTGTGGTTTTTGGTGAAAAAGATTGCAACTTTGAAGATGGGTTTTGTGTGGGTGAGTCAAAGATGTTAGCTTTGATAAGGAAGATGAGGAAAAATGAAAGAAATAGAGGTAAAAGAAGGGTTTTGAGGTTGAGAAATTGATGAATAGGGTGTGTTTTATGCCTCATTCTTTGTTGAAGTGAAGTGGGTTTGGGATTTGGAAAATGGGTATTAAAGGGGTTGGTGATTCAATCACAAATTTCAATCCTTTTGCATAGCTTAGAGTGGAAGAGAGGAGGGAAATAGTTGAGATTTTGGTTGGGGATTGTGACAAGAAATCAGCTAATATCATTGAATGAAGCAACATAGGTTGTAATGCTCTTGATGGTTGGTGTGGATCTCCCTCATGAGTTCTTTTTTTCATCACAGGGACAGAGGAAATTTGTGTAGCTCGATTGGGCGTGTGAATCTTCCAAGTGCGATCATTGCCGTCAACTTCACGATTTTAAAACACGTCTTTTAGGGAGAGATTTTCACACGAAATGTTGGTACATCGCTCAATGTCTAGCTCTTATACTATTTGTAATCGTCCAAATTCACCACTAGCAGATAGTGTCCGTTTTGACCCATTGCATCGTTAAACTCCCCAATTATTGTGGGATCTCACATAAATTTAATTCTCTAATTCAATACTCTCCTTTTTCGAGTAAAACCGACCAAATAATTATGGGTAGATCGTAGATATTTGAATTGAATGAAATAATTGAGACAATGAGTTAGTGCTCTAGGGAAATTATATAAAATGGGCTTTAATTTCTATGTGTTCTTATCTTGTTTGATACTTTATGGATTTAAATAAAGCAATGTTTTAGGTACACACTTCATTAAATATCCTCATTTTTATGGTACATTACATTACATTATCATTATTAATTTCAAATTAATTCAACCATCGTGATGTCTACCAAACTTCACCACACAAAATTTAAATCATCTATATATCCATATTAAAATTTATATTTTTAGAAATTACATTAATACAATTATTATTGGATTTAATTACAATCAATAAATACATTAATAAAATGGTTAAGATACCAATAAATGAAAGTAAATAATTTCACACCTTTTGTAGTAAACTTTGAGTTTCATTTAAGGAAACTTAATTAACTTTCTAAAAATATAATTAAATCCAGGGGTATTTTGGTAAAAACAGGATTTAACGGCGTTTATTTTCTCCGGTCCGGTCCGGTTCGGTGTATTATCGTTCTTACACGTTAGCAATTGGTCATTTTTGACATCAACATTCTCACCCCTCACCTTTTCTGTTTTAACAATCGAATTTTCCCCCAGCGTCGCTGTCTGTCTCTGTTTCTTTTAACAAAATGTATTTTATTTTAATTAAAAAAGGGTATGGTATTTTCTTGTATTTTGATTGATATTTGATGCTAATCTCGATTACTGAGAGAAGAGCAGAACCAGATGCTCGAAGAGGAGCGCCAATACAACGATTCGAGCTTCTCTGCAAAGTTTCAGAGCTTTTCGTAGTTCTTTTGTTGCTTTCTTCTTACTTTCCCTCTCTTTTTCAATGGGTAATTGCCTCGAAAAAGCTTGCTCTAAGGTGGATAACTCCCTCAACTCCTTCCCTAATTCTGGTAATTCCTTTCCCCTGTTTCATTTTCATTGTCGATTCCATGGACTCCTTTCCTTTTTTTCCTTTTCTCCTTTTTTCTCGTGTTGGGTTCGTTTCTTTTGGGTTTTTTTTGGATAAACTTTCTGGGAATTTTTGTCTGGGTGTGTTGAATGGGTTTGGTTGAATGAAAGGGTTATAGGGATTTTCTTCTCCTTTTTCGACATTTTGTAGCTTGTTCAAACCCATCTTAAGCTTTACTTTCTCTTGCTACCTCTTTTGAACTTTACATTATTGGGTATTGTACTGCGCTTTCAATACTCCCAAATCCATGTTGTGTTTCTTAGCTTTGTAAGTTGAGTACACTATCCATGGCACTGAGATCTCAGTGCTCTACATGTGAAGCCCATGAAGAATTGTTCTGTATTTAGGGTCAAGTGGATTTCTGTTCAAGTCTAAATTGTTTGTGTAAATTGAACACAATCTTGTAAAGTGATAGATGTATGAACTGGCGGGTGAAGATTTTATGTTTCCATTTTGAAAATTACTTTTCGAGTAGGTTTAGTATTTTCATTTTATGAATGTAGTCTAAGGGGACATGGAACAATTACTTTTTTAGTCACTATGAGAGTTCTTATTGATCATGAGCCTGATGTGAAATGCACTAGATATTATGGTATGATGATAAAAATTGGGTGGAACAAACTGGAGTTGGTTTGAAGATCACAATGAGTGGTAAGGGTGTTGCTCGGGAGGCTGATAGATGTTGGCTGTCGGACAATGGCGATGGTGTTCTGTAAGAGTCTGCTACTATCTCCCTTGTTTATCTGTATTAGATAAACATAGGGTCAGGTTCGATATACAGAGTTCCATTCCAAAACCGACTGACAATGAGAAGAGTAACTCACGTATATCTTATATCGATATTGAGGTCTCTTCATTTTAGTGATATGAAATCTTCAAGATGTCCCCATAAGATGGTGCCTTTTCGGGTTCACCATTCTTACGTCGGATCCCAATTTTTTGGACCGAATACCCACTTAGGCTTTATGTTCTCTAATACCTTATTCGATAAACATGAGGTTCCATCTCTAAGTTATAGTAAGCTGTGGAATTTTGGAGAAATCTTATAGAAGTTTTGGCTAAGTGTAAAAGACAGGATTTGCTCAAGGGATCTATGTGCTCGTTAATGAACCAGCTGAAATATTGTTCTTTGAACTTCTATATCAATTGCTGCCTGTCAGCTAAATAGGATTAGTTTAGTTTCCGTGCGCATACTTCACTATTCAGTCATTGTAATCGTTGTCGCTCTTATCCCGTGCAGAAGAACCAAAAAAACATAATAGGAAAGGTCATTCATCTGCTTCTTTGAGAGCTCCATCCCTTGGCGGGAGTACGCCATCTAGAGGTCTTCAAGCTCATAGATCCGAAGGTGAAATATTGCTGTCTCCAAATCTGAAAGCCTTCACATACAGTGAGCTTAGGAATGCTACTAAAAACTTCCGCCCTGACAGTCTAATTGGAGAAGGAGGTTTTGGTCATGTTTACAAAGGATGGATTGATGAACATACACTAGAAGCTGTGAGACCTGGAGCTGGAATGGTTGTTGCAGTGAAGAAGCTTAAACCTGAAGGCTTTCAAGGACACAAGGAATGGCTGGTACTTTGCTCTTTATTTTTACACGTCCTCGTAATCTTTCTGGCTCGATTTGCTTTATAAATCAGGTTGCTATTGATTGCAGTCCGAAGTTAACTACCTCGGTCAGCTTCATCATCCCAATCTGGTTAAACTAATCGGGTTCTGCCTTGATGGGGACAGCCGACTTTTAGTCTACGAGTATATGTCCAAAGGCAGCCTCGAAAATCATCTATTTAGAAGTAAGTAATGTTTTGGCCAACTCTAACTGTAACCCTGCTGCAATCATCAACCTTTTTGTGGCAATGTTTTTACTCAGTAATTAGGTTCTAAACCTCTGTTCTTGAATGTGCAATGGCATTGGCAGGGGGTGCGCGACCACTTTCATGGGCAATAAGGATCAAAGTTGCTATCGGTGCTGCTCGAGGGCTTTCCTTTCTGCATGACTCAGAAGAACCAGTTATCTATCGCGATTTCAAAGCATCGAACATCCTTTTAGATTCTGTATGTCATTTAAGTGCTTCATGGCAAAGAGTTCTGTTACACCTTTATTTCGTTGCCATTCCCTCTAAGTTCATCTGTCTGTACACAGGAATTCAATGCAAAACTTTCAGATTTTGGTTTGGCAAAAGCAGGCCCAACTGGTGATCGGACTCATGTGTCCACTCAAGTTATGGGTACTCAAGGCTATGCCGCTCCAGAATATATTGCCACTGGTTTGTTCTTCATCTCAGTCTCATGATATGTGGAATTACTGTAGGATATGTGCATTCTAGATCATGATAGATACGTTGAGCTACCAACTTGGTAATTCGACGTTTTTTCTCCATCTTCTGTTTCGATCTATCGCTAAATTTTGAATATGCTCGTTTGTCTGGTAGATGAAATCTAATTATAATAAATCTTCTCAAGGGAAATCATTGATGCCTTTTCTCTTGAAGTGAATTGATTGGCAAATCCTTGAGAAGTTTTGCAGCTACTAGAATAAGATTAGCAACTATGAGCATGAAATCTGTCTACACACTTCTGATGGATAAATCTCTATTCTTCCAATTGCAGGTAGGCTAACAGCTAAGTGTGATGTGTATAGCTTTGGGGTTGTACTGCTGGAGCTTCTTTCGGGACGTCGTGCTGTTGATAAAACTAAAGTTGGTATCGAACAGAATCTTGTGGAATGGGCGAAACCGTACTTGGCTGATAAACGCAAGTTATTTCGGATAATGGACACGAAGTTAGAGGGCCAATACCCTCAAAAAGCTGCGTACATGACTACAGTACTTGCATTGCAATGCATTCGAGAGGCAAAATTACGACCACAGATGTCCGAAGTTTTATCATCTCTCGAAGAGCTCCCCCTGGTTAAGCATGTCGATAACCAAAGATTAAACAGTCCGGGGCCGAAGTCCCCGCTGAGACATACACCAAAAGCAAGCTCTCCATTACCATCCAAATGAAAATTGTAGGGACCTTTGAGAAGAGATGGATCACGTTTTTATTAATGACCCAAGTAAATAAATATTTTTTGACTTAGGCACGTTTGGTTGGTAGACTGTAGCAGTCGAAATTCTCAACTCGTCTTCGACTATAACTTGGATAGAGCAAAGAGGCCAATATTCTGACCGAAGAGAACGAGCGCAATCGATGTTTCTATTCTGCAAACAACAGCAAATCAGTTAAATTTGTTTGGTTTTTTGAGATGAAATGGAGGTGGGAAAAATGTTGGGCAGCTGCTATAATAAATTCTGCAGAGATAAGATCACACTAAACCTTTACATAGAAGGGATGCAAATAATGAGTAGCAAACAGTGATTAAGAGAGTTGCTTTAAAAGTTGCCATTTTTTCCAGACATTTATGCTTTGGCAATCAAACCTTAAACATATCATTGGCAGCATCATTTCTTATGTTGCAGACAACCCAACCCAACCAAAGTTCTGGTTTTTATTGTCTTTGTTCATTGACCAATCACGGACAGAGAAAAGCAAATGATAATCATAAATGATTTTTCAGATTGTTAAGTTAATAATTTAGTTTTTATAGTTAAAAGTTTTTGTTTCAATTTAGCTTTAATTATTGTGTTAATTATAATTAAAGAGATGTTATGTTATAATTAAAACAATGGAACTACACCAAATCCAATAAGTTAGTTAAAATATTTATTTATTTATTAAGAAAAAGAAGTTAGTTAAACTAAACCAAACATATATATATATATATAAAATAAAGAAAAAAATAAAAAATGAAAATCCAACAAGTAAAAGAAATGGGAAGGCTTACTCTTTCTTAGCTTCAAAGCCACGCCATCACTTCCCTATTACTCCATCTCTCGATTCCTTCCAATCCCAAAACCCCAATTTAAAATTCCTTCCTTTTTTTTATATCTTCATCAAAATTTCTCCAATTGACAGAAAAAAATCAATGTCCACCGTCGCCGCCGCCGCCGCCGTCTCCGGCCTCCACTGCGAGGTTTGGCAGCCCCAAGACTTTTCTGAAACTCACTGTTCTTTTTCTTCTTCTTCTTCTGAATCCCCTGAGTTCTTCATCGATTTCTATGTCTCCTCTTATGCAACTCAAGGCGACCAAATCATCAGCACTCTTCGTTACAAGAATTTCAGGCAAAGATGTGACGTTTTAACTCAAGATTCCTTCTCTTGGTCCGCAATTTCCACTATGCTATCCGAAACCAATGTGCCTTACCATCTTCAACCCTTTTTCATTCAGCAGATTTCCATTAGCGCCCGCGGAATTGCAACCGAACCCACTAACGCTCTCTCCCGCACCATTCCCATGGTCGTCGAGCTGGTGCTGCCTGAGGAGGTCATGGAGGATTCGGGTTATGGGTCGGACACCATTATGGGAACTGGGTCGCGCCGGGCGAGTAGAGCTTCGATTCAGGAAATGGAGAGAGTTGAAATGAATGGGGTTTTGAGTGATTGTGTGATTTGTTTGGATGATATCGTTTCAGTTGGGTCTGAAATTGATGCACTTCGAATGCCTTGTTTACATATTTACCATCGAAATTGTATTCACAAATGGCTGCAACTCAGCAACCGCTGCCCCTTGTGTCGGTTTCAGATGCCATTGGAAGAGGAATGAAGCTCTGTTTTGGTTCTGATAGTCTTGGCCGTTCTGTAATATATTTACTGTTCTTTATTGGGTTTTCCCCCCTTTTTGGATGATTCCTTCTTTCAAACATGCCTTGGAAGGTTTATGAATGAAACCCACATTTCTGATCAATTGCTTATCTCTGTTTCTTGTTTCTTATTCTGTTTTTATGTAATGATTCTCTACCATTCTTGACACCAAGATTACCCTTTTCTTCTGTTTCTTTGGTATGATTCTCAACTGTTCTGGGGAACTCTGAAAGATGTTCTACAGTAAGGTCTGCTAACAAAGTCTGGTGGTCTTTTTCTCTTTAAAAAACTGTTCTTTTCCTAATTTTTCTGTCAAAAGAGAGACAAACAGAGCAATAAATTTAGGATTCAAACACAGATAGGAATGAAAGCCATAAAAAGTCGAGTGTTTACCTAACTTTTAGGTGCACCAGCCAACATGATGCATAAATTGAACTCTAATTGCTGCAATCGGCTTTAAAAGATCTTAAAAGTTGGACTTTTTTGGTTATACTTGGAGTTAGTGCTAGCTGCTTTAGTCAGAAAACCATCATATACTAACAATCTTCAAATAAATATTTCAGGTACAACAGTTCAAATAATCAAAATAGTGTATTAGATTCAATTAAATGATTCGGGTTGTGTACAAATTCAAGCTCTATTCTTTTAATTTAAAGAAGAGAAAGCAACAAGAAATCAAGAAAGCGTATCTGATGACTCGGCGCCATTAGCAACTTTGATAAAGACATCCTCTAAAGTGGTGTCAGCCAAACCCCACGCCAATACTGCAAACCTGCTTTTGGCATTTTCCACTGCTTGAAACACATCTGCAATCCTAACCTGGTGTTTTGGAAGCTCAAATTTTTGGGTTCCAGATAAGCGGTATATCTTGCTAGCTCCAGAGGCCAAACGCTTCACCATGTTCTCAACATCTCCCTCATGAGCAGGAGATGTTGTCATCGTCAATACATAAGCCCCACCATATCTGGCTTTAAGCTGTCCAAAGATTGCCAATTTGATAAATTACTTATATACAGTCCCAAAAGGATATAATGCAATGCATATTACAGCCATTCATATCACAGCAGAGGGTAAAAAAATAAGCAAAACCTTGGTTGCATGTAATCAAGATACAGAAAATGCTTTTTCATGAACACTCTCTTGGATGAAGTGAGGCACTAAAATGGTTTGTAGCTACCCTAAACGATCCAACAAAGTGGTCGAAAACGTACATCCTCCGACGCGCGTGTGTTTTTTCTTTGTTTATAAGAAAAGCATTCTTTTTTCCTTCTCCAAAGTTGACTGCAAATCGGATGGAAAAGCAAATGTGAAAGAAACGGGGAGAGGGTGCAAGAAAGGAATAATATATTTGGAAGGAAGTTGGAAGCTAGAGGGAATCTAGGAAGTTACTCAGGGAAATCAAACTAGAAGGGATTTGTCGGGTTGATGAGAGGAGAATGGTAGATTTTGATTTTTTTTTTTTTTTTTTCTTGTTCTTGTTCTTGTTCCTCGATACCTTAAAATCCCACTTGAGTTCTACCAAATATATTGAGGAAAAGAAGAACAGGTAAAAAGGTTAATGGCCAAAGTTACATTATCGACCGCTCAGAGATTAATTAAGTTACCTCTTTTGGATTTCCAATACACTGAAGGCTCCCATCTGCAAAAATTCCTATCCGATCGCACAAGACTTCCGCCTCTTCCATAGAATGAGCTGATGATACAAGTTTTTTCAATATTCAATACAATCAGAAAGAACAACGGAATAATGAACCGCTATTAGTACAAAATCTGCCATAATTCAAATGATGTAAATGAACAAATGATAATTAAACATGGAGAAGTTAAACAAAAATAGTCCACGTGTGAGCGAGAAAAATCTTAGTATTTCTACGAGGTTAAATTATAAGTTTAGTCTTGAACTTTTAGGTATGTGTCTATTCCGTTCTTAAATCTTAAAAAGTGTGTTTAGGTACTAAATTTTTAACTTTGAAAGTTTAAGGATTAAATGTACACAAACCTCAAAGATCGGAGATTAAATTTCGGGTCAAGTGATTAAATGCAAAATGAGACTGGGAAACGAAGGAAACATACTAGTAAGGATGATTGCTCGATCTTGCTTCGCACGCTTCACAAGATTCCATAAACTTTTTCTTGAAGCTGGATCTAGGCCGGTGCTTGGCTCATCCATATAAACAACCTTCGCGAAGTTTATAATGGTGTTTTCAGATATAGAAAGGGCCTTGACATATTAGAATGAAACAGATCGATACATTACTTTAGGATCTCCAATCAGTGAAATAGCAACACTAAGCCTCCTCTTCATACCTCCACTGTACTCCCCAGCTTGTTTATCCGCTACTCCTCCATGGAAGAGGTTGACCCCCTTGAGAGATTCTTCCACTGCCTGAAGCAATTAAAAAGCAATGAGGACGACACAAAATTTCTTTATCTAATGCATTTTCCATTGTTGTTACAAAAAAGAACTGTTTCATTCTTTGCATGCGTCACTTTCTAAGAGTTAGTGCAATATGAAGATATTGGATCTATACCATGAACTCGCATGATGATTTCAGTTTAATATTATGCTTACTTGTATTAAAGCAGAATCTTTTAAATTTTTCAGTCTGCCATAAAAGAGTAGGTGCTCCCTTCCTGTCAAGGTTTCCCATAGCAGGCTACATGGTCCCCAAAAATAAAAACATAAGGAAGCTCAAGTTGAGGGTCAGCATAAAGTAAGTCCAGCCATAAATAAGCTTACTCATGCTGTGGACAAACACCCATGCTTGCATATATGCCATCCATTTCGGTCCTTATGTCCAGACCTTCGACAAAGGCTGTTCCAGCGGTGGGTTTTATAAGACCAATCATCTGAAAACGGATCCTCGTGTGAGTAAAATTTACAAGAAAAACAGGAACATCTACGTCCACACCAGATATGTGGTGGGATTCGTTGACAATCAGAAAGACATTTAAGAACATAGAAGTCCAAGGAAAGAAGGGAGACAAACGACATAGCAAATCACTATTGAAGGAGAAATTTCAGCTCACCATACTGATAAAGGAGGTCTTTCCTGCACCATTAGGACCTAGCATTCCAAAGCATTCTCCTCGAAGCAAAGCAAGAGATAGTCCCCTAACTGCAAACTTCTCAGGGTTCCCATCCTTTCCTCGGTATACCTTTTTGAGATGGTCACAAATGATGACATGACTTGGATCTCCTTCCTTCAGCAACTTCTCAACCTTATCCCTCTGGAAGGAAAAATATAAAATCACAGAAGTCACAATTCAAGTGGTAATGATTCAGCTTTCTCTATCAACAAAAAAAAAAAAAAATCCGTAAATTTCACTTTACAAAAAGGCTAGTACTCATTAAACAGGCAGCTAAACAGTTGCAACATGACAAAATGCATTCAAAGGACAGTTCAACAAAGCCAGTTTACAATATTCCACAACGGAATCCCTCTTAAATCATGAGGAAGAAATACTTGATGAGAAGCAAAAAAATGAAGAATAGATCATGAAGCTTTTCAGAAGCATTCATACGTGAGTTCTCAATAAATGTAATGGTAAAACAGATATAAGTATCAAGAAAAACTTACCTCTTCTTTGACATCAGGTTGATCAATCTGAACCAAGACTTCTGATCCTTGCCTTTCCAAACCAGGATTCTGAGATGGAGCTTTCTTGTCACGTCTTTGAAGGAAAAATAAAGGATGCTTCCAACTTCCTGACGATAAACCTCGATCGATCCAGAATGCAACTAGAAGCACCACTATCCACTCAACAAGCATAATGATCAAGACTTCTCTCATTCCATTAATACTATCAGTCAAATCTTTCCACCGCATCCCATAAGTTCCCATTAGATTCCCAGTGAAAGAATAAAATGCAAACTCATACAGCCCACGATATAGCAAAAATCCAGGGTATAACTCCATAACTATGATCCATCCTCCTACAGAGCACAAGGAAGGCATATCAGAAGCAAACATTACATGGAAAAGTTTAAACTTCAAACCGTAGAGGGAAGGGCTTTGCCAACATCAAGCAATTAGATGAAGATAAACTTCTAGATATTTGGAATGTCTTAATGTTTGTAATAGTCGCTCTTCAGAAAGGTTCCAAGCATTCAAAGTCCCAGTGTAATTTTTTTAAGCTGATATATAAATGCAAAGTACTTTTGAAGTTCTATTCTCTGAACTCTCTATCTAGACAATCTAAATACTAATGGAAGATTTTAAAAGAAGTTTGAGTGTTGACTTTAAATGCTTGAAACCTCTAAAAAATAATCTAAAATCAGTCCGAATGAAAACTAACTTGGAGATATTTACTAACGTGGGAATGATGGATCTTCAACAAAAAATTGGAAGAGAAATCCACCTAAGAGCCCTGTTCCGAATACACATATATATGTCGAAACTGCAAAATGAAACATTCACATGTCAGCTTCGTGTTAAGTTGATACTAAATCCTGTTGAATTAAATAAAACCAAACCTTCAGCAGTTTTGACAGTTGAAAACATGGCAGCAACTAGAAAGGCTAGGGAGACTTGCAAATTTATAAATAAGAGATAAAAGACAAACTGGATGCTGTAGTCATTCATTGTGAAAAATTTTAGCCCTGCAAGGAAGTAGAAATTATTAAAACTTAGAACAAGGTCTGGATGTACAAGTTAAGAGTGATAAAATTTATGTTACCTATCACTGAACCAAACATCACAAAACAAAACATGTATACTGCAGAAACTGTGAGAAAATAAGCGTATGAAATCATCCAATAAGGCCCATCACCAAGCCCATGCATTTTCATCATGATTCTCAGTTTCTGTTGCTTCTCATATACCAACGATGTCAAGATAACCTAACATGGAAGGATAGAAATGAAATGTTAAAGAAGTTAAATGAAGAAATGAAGTAACTTTCATTGCAACTTACAACACCCTACAATATTGAACCAAGGATAGCAGTATATGCAGTATG